TTTATATCAAATATTTAATATTAAATTAAAAAATAAAAATTTATATAAAATAAAATAATTACAAAATATATTTTTAAGATATATATTTAAAAAAAATAATGAATTTTATATTAATTTTTCAATAAAAAATTTTTTATTTTTAATTTAAATATTATTATAGAGTTATAAAACTAAAAAAAAAAAAGTTTTTAAAAAAAAACAATTAAAAAATTTACTATTATTAATTTTATTAATACAATTATAAAAAAAATTTTTATATAAATATGTTTTAGGTTTTGAAAAATTAAAAAATAATTTTTTTGAAAATTTAAATAATATTTTTTATAATAAAACAAATAAAAAATCATTTTAAAATTTTATTTAATTTAAATTATTATTTATAAAATTATAAATATAAATATAATTACAATTTTTTTCTTAACACACTGTAGATTTATAAAAAAAAATTTCAATTTAATTATTTTAAACTTTAAAATTAAAATTCAAGATGGATTTATTAATAAATTGTTGGAAAAAAGCCTTAATATTCTATTTTCATAAATTTCCTGTTAATTAAACGATTGGTTGTTTATCTATGATAAAGAATATTTGTCCAAGGCTTTTAAGAGGATTCGTATATTTACCATGTAGTAAAATTTTGATGTCGAAAGGTCAGGTCATTATTTTTTTTTGTTGAAATTTTTTTTTATTGGATAGAGTTTTCCACGAAATTTCCTATAATCATCACGATTGACAATTTAAATTTACCCGTAAGAATCTACCTAATCTGGCATTTCGTAAATTACAGGTTCTTAAATAAAGTTGACTCCGCAGAACAAACAATGATTTAACTTATTACTATAAAATATAAAATATAAATATATGGAAAAAGTACAGTATATTATTTCTCTATTTACGAAATACAATAGAGAAAATGGTCGGTTGATATTTACAGTTTATTGTCTTGTTGACAATTCGTGACGGGATGATCATTAATATAATTGAAAGATTGGTGTGAGGCAGTTACATGCATAACGAAAGCAACACAGAAATATGCGGTGATATATTATGTTTATATGGCTTACGGTAGAAATAACGTGCGCACATATTTGTAAACAGCATTATTGTATAAAAGGAAATTGAATCGATTTGTTTTCATGGAGTCAATCGTTCATCCAACTTCCCTCGACCCTCATTTTTTCCCTCATTTTTCCCTTCATTCCTTTTATCCGCTTCTCTCCCCAACAAGTCTTACATTCTTTTCGTCTATTCCCTTAATTCGAAACATTAATTCTTATCTTGCCCATGTGGTAACAAATCGTATATTGACTTGTTGAGATTACATCACCCGTCCGCGAAAAAGAATGGCCAATAGTCACATAAACAAGATTATCTTAATATCGGCATTAGTTATTTTACTAATTGGCATGGTAAATTCGGAAAAATCAATAAAGTCCGAAAATTCCGAGAAATCGAAACTTGCCTACAAATGTCCTAAATTCAAACCACGTGATGATGCCAATTCCACACGTTATATTATAATTTTTAAAAATGATCATTCAACTCAAAGTGAGGGAAGTGATGATACAGTTATACAAGACCATTTTGATGGGCTGAAAAGTTGTTTCGGAAAACACGTGGAAAAGGTCAAAGGTCCTAATTCACACGATCAAAATGTTGTTACTGATTTTACGATTCCAGGGTCCATAGCCGGGTACACAGGAATGTTTACTTCGGATGAGGCAAATGAATTGTCTCAATTGTCAGAAGTTGCAATTGTTGAAGAGGACGTGAAGATCCAAACTGCTGGAGTGATTCGAAAGAAAAGAGATTTATTACCAACGTTATCAACATACCTTGTCCAACTAAATCCGCCACCGGTAAGGAATTATATCAATTCTACGTATATCAAGTTCTTACTATAATGTTTTGTTAATATTATTTTCTTGGAAAAGAATTTGAACCGAATCAGTCAAGCTTCGCTTCCCCTGAATGGAAGGTATAGGTACCCAAGATCTGCAGGGAATGGTGTAAATGTATATGTCATTGACACGTCGGTATTTTTGGGCGGGCCACACCCGTGATCTCATTATGAATTGAGTGTTTTTTAAAAATGAACATCAGAGTACTAAGAAAAATCCAAACTCTTTAGTGGCATAAATATCAATAACACTGATTTCGGCGGTCGTGCTCACTGGTCCGCCACTTTTTGTAAAGGATGCCCAAATTTCGATGATCATGGTCATGGTTTGTATTATATTTTATATTACGTTTAATTCAAATAATAATAATAATAATAATAATATTTTAATAATAAATAGGTACTAATATTGCGGGTATTGTAAGTAGGTTTTATCATTGAGCGTTATAAAAGAATTTGCTTTAATTGAAACGTCAACTTGACATAACAGATTGGAGGTAATAACCAAAATCATTGTCTATTTCGCGAGAAATGGTGGTATTCATGAGTTTACACATAATCCTCTCACTAAATTATTTATTGAAATTACTAATTAAATTAGGGAGTCGTTACGGAGTTGCCAAGAAAGTAAATCTATTTGCCATTAAAGCCCTTAACTCTCAAGGCGGCGGAGACATGTCAACATTTATTAACTCATTAACCTACGTTCTTGGGTTACATCAAAAAAGCACCAATAAAAATACCATTGTCAAGTATGTCTTCTTTAATTATATTATTGCTTATACTATTCATTTGTTCCATTAACCCTGACATTTTATTTTTGATTTAGCCTTTCAATAGGGACCGCTAGCTCACCGGCTCTAAAGGCCACTGTAGAATCTTTGATCAATTCCGGAATTCATGTAGTGGCTGCGGCAGGAAATGGTTATGGGGCCGATGCGTGCTCCTATACACCTTCAAATGTTGCTAATGCCGTCGTAGTCGGGTCCACAGAGATCAACGATATCGTCAGTGATTTTTCTAACCGTGGATCATGCATTACTTTATTTGCTCCAGGTGAATTATTCTTTCCTTTGTCTTTATCCTGCACCATTGAGCGTATAACAAACGAAATTTGATGACACTAGGGCGAAATGTCGTTTCCGATGGACCAAATGGTAAAACCAGTACACTCACTGAATCCGGAACTAGCCAATCGGTAGGCTTCTATTAGAATCTTTCAATTCTTTGCATTTCAATTCATTGACCGCCGTTTATTTTAAAGACACCTCATGCAGCTGGTGCTATTGCACTAGTCATCTCCAAATCTGGCAACAAGACTCCAAAGGCAATGAAAGATTATCTCATCCAATTGTCCACCAAGAATGTAATAAAGGGTCTTGATTCAAAATCCCCGAATAGACTTTTGCGTATACCTTAGACTATCTCATATAAAAATGTATAGACAAGATTTTATTAGATTGGAACGCTATCCTCGTCTTTACCACAACGAGCTATTCTACTTTTGATGATTGAAGTTTATAGAATATTTGAATTCTAATAAAATCATCCTTACTGGTTGATCATGTGATTTAATTCGTAAGGTTTCCACAAAGAAATTTGATTGTTAAAAGATTTTCTTTTCTTTTCTTTTCTTTTCTAGACCTTACATGATTGTGTCATTTAAAATAATGAAGAAAATTTTATGATGTGCAATTAATTTTATTAACCCATGCTACATGTCATGAAATTCTAATGCAAAATAATGCGGCCATTCTCTATTTTCTAAGATGAAATGTATAATATAATGCTCAACTGACTTTTTTTACTTGGGAACTCGTAATATTAAATTTGGGCTACCGTCATTTGGAAGGTTTCCCAAGATATTCTTGGTTGCCGAATTAAGCAAGGTTTGTGTTATATTAGCGGGACTCGAATTACCATTCTCACTAATAATCAAAGCCACAGCTCCTGAGACATGAGGTGCAGCCTGACTTGTACCCGAAAATATTAAAATATCCCTATCATCTCTAATACCAACTGAAAGAATTTCTCGGCCGGGTGCAAAAATGTCAACGCATTTACCGCTATTTGTAAAATCTGTGATGTCATCGAAAATGTCATCGATGGCGCCAACAGTGATGGCCGATGGTTCGGAGGCGGGTGAAACTTTACAAGCATCATTCGCGTTGTTACCAGCTGCTGTAATAACGTGAATACCATCATTAGTAAGGGATTTCACTGCTGCGTTAATGGCCTTGGAGAAAGGACCCCCGAGAGACATACTATAGCGAATAAAAGAGTATCCTAATTGGTAAACCATGTTTAACTTTTAAAAAAAATAAAATTCGCAAAAAACATACTTGACCACGGCATTGTTCTTCTTTTTCTTATGGTCGTTGAGAACGAACATCAGACCATTTATCATATCCGCGCTTGTTCCATTACCCGTGGCATTTAAAACTTTAACGCCGATGATGTTTGCCTTTTTTGCAACTCCATATGTTTTCCCGGCAACGATTCCAGACACGTGAGACCCATGTCCATTGTCATCGGTATTAGGACAGCCGCTACAGAAGGCGCCTCCGAATGTTGCGCGTCCTTCAAATTCTTTATGGTTAACCAAAACTCCACTACGATTGAGAAAGAATCATCAGGTTACTGTATGGTCGTTTTTACAATTTAAACATTACCAAAAACTTACGTGTCAAGCACATATACAGTGACGCCGGCTCCAGCCGATTTTGGAAAAATGTATCGTTGATCTAAAGGAAAGTCAGTTTGATCTATGCGATCGAGATTGATGGTGGGGTTCTTTTGAATCGATACGGCGGCATTTATTCCTATCGGGATGTCTTTCTCAATGATAACAGCTTCTTCACGGTTTGACAAATGCTCTTGGACAAATTTGGCATCAAACCAAGCGGTATATCCGTGTGCTTTTCCCTCTACCGAAAAATCTACAATCATATCATTGTCAACAGCTGCTGTTGAAAACTCGGCGATGCCAAGTTTTTGGGTCGATCTTTTCAAGCAATTTTCTAGCCATTGATAATGCTTGGTGATTGAATTAGAGTCGAGGAATACGATGTATCTTTCGCGTGGACCAGAAAAGGAAGAAAATGTGAAGGAACAACCAGTCGATTCAGCCGAAGCAGCGAGATCTGCAATTAACACGGTGGTAAGAACGACGGTGATAATAAATTTGATGACAAAAAACATTTTTCAAAAAATGTCCAGTCGTAGTGATGGTGTATGGTGAGAGAATGTATTAGTTGATAATGAATGAAAAAGAGAGTAGGTGATGAATAGGAATGTTCGTTGCTAGCGATTGAATGGAGAAGTGGAGACTCGGCATATTTATATTCATTTCTTGAGGTCGAAATGTTTATTACGAATAATTAAATAATAACAAGGCGCGTTCGTTGGTTTACCAATTAAAACTTTCGCGATTAATTTCTTATTATTAAGAAATTTCCAAGGATTCTTTCCTTGAAACGGAATGAGACTGCTAATAGTCGTTAATGGAGTGAAAATAAGTTTATTTAGAGTAATGAGTATAGAATGCATGTATCTACAATGCACATGTCAAAAAGATCGGGCTAGATTGTTCTCTCCAGGTGAACTGTGCTTTCGTTATTTTCATCATAGAACGTGCCCTGTTTAAGCTCATAAAACTTTTTGCACATCTCAACGTGTTATTACGCAAAAAATTTTCTTATTCTTTCAAATACCTTAAAAAATGCAAATCGCCCATCGACGCATAGTTTCTTTAGTCAAATTCAGTATATGTCGTATGGTAGAGAAAACGGATGATGTATGTACATATTTGGACTAGATTAGAAAGTGAGTCCACTTGTACAGTATGTCACTTTCACGAATCATTATCTCTAGTTTTGAAATACAGTATACTGTAGATCTAAACGAACGCTTTCTTAAATTATTTAAAGTGAAAAATGACCACGTGTAAATCTTTACGCATAACGTGGTCTCAATTGGGAATCCTTAATCTATCGGATTTTTTCATGATTGTCTTGCGCAGGGGATTGGTTTTTTATTTTAATCTTAATGCGGGAATTATCGGCGATTCTGGACTCGCAGAATATCCATGAACGATACAATATGCTTTTATTAACCTAGTTCAACTAGGATTGATTTCCGGTTTGCTTAGATAATACGACATAGGTGTTTGACTTGGACGAAGAGGAAAAATCAGGCTTCCTTTAGCAACCGTAATCTATCAAATTAATATCGACCGTTGTTAGTTGTTCAACTAGTTTTATGATATTCTTCACTTTATCATTGGTACTTGAGTAGGTTTATCGATATACTGGATTTTCTAGCGCAACATAGTTATTAATGTCCAATGACTTGGTTCAAATCCTCAGATCACTTATTTAACATTTCTTAAACTGTTTGAACATATACAGTAAGAATTTATCATTGGTGATTTGGAATTCAATATACTGTAAATAAAAAATTCTTACAATAATATTTAATATTTCCAAATTTTAAAAATTTGATATAGAAAACCTCAAAAATATTATTAATATAATATATATAATAATCTACAATATAATTGATTATTGCTAGTTATTTATTTTTTTATTAACACTAGCAGAAACTGATTTTGTATTTTTTCTTGATTAGCTTTAAAAATCTTTTAATAAAAAAAATTCATTTCTGGATTTTTATATACTTGATAATTAGTTTTCTCACTTATTTAATTTAAATTCTATTGAGCATTTACAAGATGAATTCCAAAAACAAGTGAAATTATATAAGCAAAAATAAAAAAAATTTGTTTGATTTATTTAATATATTAAAAAAAAATAAAAAATAATTTTATTATATATAAATAATATATAATATATGTTTGATTTTTTTTTTAGGAAGAGGTTTTTTCCAACAGGTAAACATTATTTCTTTATTTATTATTATATACTGATTATATATATATTAAGAAAGAAACAATATCTCTTGGATGCATATTACATACAACAAGTTAAATGTTAGCTTGCCTACTTAATCACTATCTAACTAATATTGTAAAAAATTTCAAAAGCAATATTAAAATGTTAAATAACAGAGTAGTAGCTATGCCTACATACTTGACAAAATTTTGTGAAATTTTTTGATTTTTTAAATATAGAATAAATAAAAAGAAATAACAACTATAGTTACTGAAATTAAAACTAAGTTGCCTAAACTATAAAATCTATGTAAACAAAAAAAATATCTAAAAGATGGCCAATAGTTTAGCCTTTGCACTGGCACTGATCTTATAAATGTGACTCTTGTTGACATGAATAATAAAATATAGTTGACGTTGTTTATTGTTATAGTAGTAGTTGTTGTTGTTGTGATGTTGAAAAACTGGTTTAAACAGGTTCAGTTTTTTCTTTGTTGTTTTGATAAAATCTGATTGGATAATTGAAGAGTAACAATTATCTGGAGGGGGTAAACTGATTTCAGTTTTTTGAAAAAAATTTTTGGTGAATTTTGGAATAGCACAGTAAGTAATGTCATAGTAAGGTTGTATGTAAAAGTTGTGTCTTTTCTCTTTATAATTTATTATATTATTTTTATATTTTTAAAATAATAAAAAAAATAAATAAAAAAAACTCTCACCTATTTATCACTGATTTTTTGAAAATTTCCTTTTTAGAAAGTCTTTTTTCAAGAAGTATCTTCTTTTCTTTATTCTCCAAAGCAAATAAGCTATAAATTCAAAGAACATAAAAACTTTAAAAAACACTGTTGTATTGGGATGGAATCTCTAATTAAGACTTAAGCAAGTTAAAAGTCTTCCTTAACTCTTGGTTGCATATGAAAAGGTTTGTGACAGTCTTTTTTCATAATCTTTGTTTTTAAATACTTTTCTCTTATATAACTATAATAATTGCTTTTTCCTTTACCTTTTTTTCTTTATAACACAAATCAATTTTAACAATATATTTAAATAAAGTTATCTGGTTTAATATTTGTTTTAACATAACCTTTACAAATTTATTTTTTTTCTATCTAAAAACCAATACTATGCCTTATTTTTTCACTTTTCTATATTTTTTTTAAATTTATTCAAAAACCATAATTAGTTCTATTCCATCCAAAAATCTATACTTAACAAATGACCAATAAAATTTTTTCACTCTCTAACAACAAAATTAAACATGTTCAAACTCATTTATAACCAGTTTTTTAACAAAAAATTCCCATATTCAACAACAATAACAAAATAAAAACAATATTGATAACAAAAAAAAGATCTAATAACTTATTAGATTAGAAAAACATGTGACCTGTGCTTTGCATATATTTTAGTAATATTTATTCTATATATACTCAAATATCAAAACAAGTAATTAAAGTAGGCACCAGTTATCTAACTTATTTATATCTCAATCACAATACTCTTTTATCAACTATATAACTATTTATTATTTCAATAATGGAGTTGTAACCTATAAATAGCAATGTTACCATTAAATAAAAAAGGCAACAAAAGCCTAACCAATATAAGTAAAAGTAAAATACTTTTATTGTAAGTGAAAGTGAAATATTAGAAAGTTATGTTCTATAATTTGACAGCTTAAGTCAGTGCTTTTTTACTATTACTAGAGTCACATCCAGCTATTAAAAAGAAAGTAATAATCTAAATAGACACATTTGGTTTATGTCTTGTAGGAAGAATTATTGATTCAAAAATAATATACTTTTAAATCCTAATATACATTATCATTATAATATTTTACTCTTTATAAAATATTAATTATATGTCTCACTTATATATATATATATATTTACTCCAAATCAGACTGCAAGTCTTGGTGTTTATTAATATGAGTCTTAATAACAAAAATACAGTAATACAATATAAGATAATATTATACTAAAGCTAAACTATGCGATCTAGCAAAACACTCATCAATAACTAGTAGCCTCTAAGTGTAATTGTAGGAAAATGAAAAAGTTGCTCAATTTTGAAGAATGCTCCTTGTTTTCCTCAATTTCATAGCCAGCCTTCATTCCAAGACTGTTATTCCTATACAACTGCTGTGATTCTATAGAGATAAAAAAAATTTTTATTTTTTATAGAAAAAAAGGAGAAAAAGAAGTGTTAAAAGTGAAAAGTTTATTGGCAAATAAAAACTCCTTGAAGTTAATTTCGAGTCTGACTGTTTACAGCTGAATATCCATTCAATTTTCACCATTTTGTTACTAATCAAGAACGTTTAAGAGCACTTCCAGGAGAGTAATTCTTAAAACTTTATACTCGAAGACTTCTAACCTTTGAAGAGAGTTGATATATTATTTGACAATTTTTCTTCCAACCAGTTCTCTAAGGAATTATAGCTTCATTCAACCAGTGAATAGTTTCAAGATTCCTTTCTCCAACCATTTTCAGGATAATTAGCAACAAAAGAAGCTTATTACTGTGCCTGGAATAAGACCTTTCTTCAACCTTAAAGAGAAACAAAACCAATACAAGAGG